GCTCGTGGGAACCACGTTCGGTTGATATCGGGATGAAGGTTGGGTCGTGTGTCGAGATGGAATCGTCGGGGCCTCGCTTATATACCCATTTACCCACCAGCCGCGCCACGGCCAGGATCGTATAGGGGGCCCCGACCCTCTTCACCCGGCGTCCCACCAGGGGCCCCCTTTTACTCTCCTCTTCTCGTCCCTATTCCTCGTCGTTCCTCTTTCCTCCACCTCTGTTGCACCCCCTCTTCCTCCCCTCTCCCTCTCACGGTGGTTTCCGACCCTCCCTCCGTCCTCCAGTCGTTGACAACTATCTCTCTTCGGTGTACCATCAACCGCGATTCCCGATCGTTCGCGTTTTCCTTCTCGCGCACCGTGCGCGGCTACGTGTGTGTCCCTCTCACAATCAGGCTCTGTGTTCCTCTCTACGAAACGACCCACGCCGTCCACGAGCAGGAGCAAAACGAGCCGGTGGCTGCGATTCTCGCAGGAGATTTTCAAGTATCGAATCGGTGTTAGGTGGCTCGCGATGCGCTGCCTAACGTTGACACGTTTATTGTGTGTCGAGGTGTCTCAACCTGTGTTAATGGTTCCTTGCTCTTGGAATTGCTGTTCCGCTAGCAGGGTACATCTTCGTCAACGAGACGACTGCTGGATGTTCGTTGTTGCGGTTCGATCGTCGAACTTCGATGTATTAACGATGATATTAATCGGGTAAAAGTGGAAGGATGATGGCGCAGGAGGATTTCTCGTTTAGGGTTGAGCGAGTGGAAAAGTTCGTCGATTTTGGAATCGGTGGTCGGTCAATCGATCGACGGAAGGTTCGGCGAACATCGAGACGCGTGCTGTTGCTCGGAGCCGGCGAGTGGGCGAAACGTGTCAACTCGTCTTTTGTGAGATACATACGTTCGCGGAGTGAACGTTCGTTTGTTAGGCGTACGCCGTCTCGTCGCGAGGTCGTTGATGCTCGATTCAGCTTTCGTATCGTTGCTTTGCTTCTCCGAGAGAGTTTGTTTCATGAGAACTTTTTTCTTCTTTGAACTTTGGTCATTTTGGAGAAAATGCATTGCTGTTTTTAGAAGAAAAAAAAAAAAATGAAAATTGTTTCATCATATACTTTCTTCAAAGTTAATCGACACCTTGCATTTTACACTTCGTATAAAACATCAACATCAATCATGTTTTCTAATCTGTACGTTATAGTTACGATCTGAATAATTTATTTTTCCCAATGTCCACATTTTTCAGTCCTCCTCGTTAGATCATAAGAACCGGTTGCAAATTACATTCTGCAGTTTTCTTACGATCAATGACGATCGATCTTCATCATCTTCTTCCTTCGTCGTTTTGTGATCAATCTCTTTGAGCAGATTTGAATTTCGTTTCGAACTCGTTGACGTTGGACGCAGTGCTTCGTGACGCACCTGCGCGTTTAGCACGGTTCATTTTTTTCCATTTCATTGTGCGAGCAGGACGATGTTTTAAAAGCAGTCCGTTCAGCATGATTCAGTATCGACCGGAAGTGCGGCGGTGGCGCGGTGCGAGCTCTTGATAAACGTGAAAAGGACCTTGATGTTTGACCGCGATGAATAGAAATATTAGGACACGCTGATTAGCTCGTAGAACGAGGCTTTTTGGCCTTCCCGATCGTTCGTATTTCACGCGATCAAATCTATTTTTTTCTTATTTTTTTGTTTTAACTGAATTTAGAAAGAGTTTATTTCATATTTCATGCAATCGAATCTAAATTAAATTTGAAGAAATATTGATAAATATAATATATTTTATTCATTGGAAGTTGTGCATTTATAATCTCTGTACTGTCTCTTTAAATTTTGTTGCACGATCATTCATCAATTAATTGACGCGTTGTTGATAAATTATTTTGTCTTTCATTCATCTTCTGATAAATATCTTGACATCAGAATGAGATTCGTAGAAAAAAAATATATATATATATATATATATATTTTTATAATTAATGCACGTAAATCAATCAATAACACGAAGATTTCGAATTTCATTCGTCGAATTTCCTAGCTTCGAACCTCCGACTCTGCATTCAAATATAATTGATCAATGAGGTTTCAGTTTCCGATAGGAAGTTGAAGACGCGCAATAAATCTTGAAAAACTGCTGAAAAGGAAGATCAAGAATCAAGTTTTCTATGTCGAAACGAATAACGAGATTTTTTTCTGTTGCTTGTCGTGCTTAACGAGCCTTTCAGAATTACTTGGTTTGTCTAAAATACCGCAGCATTTTTCGACACGTATGGGGCAGAATTTTGTTGCTCGGATCCACGAAACTTCGACGAGACGAGTTCTGTCTTTGTTTTTGTCTCGTCCCTCAATGAGTGCAAACGAATCATCTCGCACGTGTCCGACATACTCAATTACTCGAAAGACGCGACTTTCCTGGAGCTTGTTCGCTTGTTCGCGGCGGAAGTGCGCGCAGAATTTGTAACAGAGCTTAACTAATTCTAATTTGGTCAGGCTAGCGTCAGGTTCGCGAACAGTCCTAAAAAGTATTTAAAAAGATTTGTCGGTCGTCGTCGAGGAGGAACTTCTTCTCAGTTGTTTAACAGAAAACGAACGTATCGTTAAACTTTGTGATTTCAGTGTCACTTTATGATTAAAGAAGTAGTTAAGATAAAAGGAATTTGTTTGATCGAGTTGAAAACCAAATTGTCAAGGCAAACGTTTCTGATATTTCTCATGGCAATATATAAGTAATATTTTTCCAATTATGAGAATAAGTAAGAATGAAAAATGATTTTTATGATTTATAATATCGAAAATATTATTTTATGGTGTCAGAATTGATTTTTATGGTAATTGAATGTTTACGGCGCGTTGAAAATATCCGAGTTAAATAATACTATTTGTTATTTATTTTTACTACACAATTATTTAACTATTTGACGTAGTTGATCTTTGAACTCAGAAAGAATTTTGTAAATTCACGCAAGATTTGGGTAATATTTTACTTTACACGTCTCCGTATATACTCATGTTTCTATTTCAAAAGACAGC